GGAAAGAGTTCAGCATTCATTATTGCCTGGGAATTAATATAAGTGAGCATATTGACCACTCTGTGCTTAGTCTTCCTTTGAGGGAAAATCTGTTTTGAGGTTGCTGAGCTTTTGAGGCTTTCCATGATTTTATCACTGAGCAGCATGACTTGAACCCGAAAATCAGGGTGGAATAAGCGGGGAGGTTGCTAAGCAGTACAGGCACAATAAAGGAGAAATCTTTTTCTTACGTACACTCACATTTTGATTCCCTTTTCAAATTAAGTGTTTATAAAGAGATGTGCTTTGAAAATGATTAGTTCTCAGCTTACTCCAGCAGTCTCCATCCCCTGTATTTCTAAAGTACCTTTCAAAGCTGTGTTTTAAAATCCCAAACGGTCTCCTTGATTTGACCTTTCCATTTTATAATGGAGCAAATAAGGTTACAAGGTAATTTGCATTTAGATTATGTTTTCTTTGTAGGGTCATCACAACACTGGATGTACGAATCTCATAGTCCCACTTCTCATGGAAGTGCTTAGTATGGCACGTGATATTAAAATACAAGATAAAGGCAAAAGCACTTCTGTGTAAAATACAGGTAGACAGATAGACAGGCAGCCATAAGCAAACAGAATTCATACCACCAATCATACGAAAAAGTAGAATAACCTCCACAATTTGAAATTACTGCAGCTATACTCATGAATGCTATCTTAGCCCATACGTAGGACAAATCAGGCTCTCCAGTCCCTGCATATGGACATCTGGAGCTTAATTTGGTGTGCTGAAACTTAAGACTATATCCTTATAATAGTCAGTAAATCCTTGGAATAGATATCACTCCTTGCCAGCCTACTCTTAATTCATTCCAGGCAGCACTGACTTCTCAAAATCTGTTTTTGAGGATTATTTTCCTGAATCTTATCCTATATGTGTTTCTTAAATGAACATTGTTTCACCAAGACAATTAAGGATTGGATACTAAGAAACAGCACAGAAACTCTAAGACATTACAATGAACTACTTCATAAGCACAAATGAACGAGACAGCAGAAAATTACAGAATCTACTTAAAATACAAGCCGGCAGGCTAAACACAAATAACATCTTAGACAATATGTGGGAAGGCCAACATGATGCAGCTGATGCTGACTGGTCAACAGTGATGCGGAGACTAGGGATAACATTTTCAAAACACGAGTTTCCTTCCCCAAGACCTGGATTGCCAAAAGTGTGGCCGAAGGAAATAAAAGATTTTTCTTGATTGGTTTTCCATCGCAATGTTTCTCTTTCCTGAGTATACTAGGCAGGGAAAAAAGCAGCAATGGCAGCTTTTTAAGAAGGACTTCATTTCTTAGCTGTCCCTCAATCAATTCCTGTTTATGCTTATGCCCCAAAACAAGCAGGTGACAAGACTTTGAGGTAAACAGAACTGGATGCTACTTTATGTTTCATTAAAAACTAGATCAATTTGCTAATTAATTAGCCTCCTCAATGTCTTTGGATGGTATTGTCAGTCTTCTGAGTTTGTTGTTGTTCTTTTTTTTTCAGATGAGGAAAATGAAAACTAAGGAACTGAACCATTCTTTCAATTGCACTTTCCAGAAAGAAATCCTCGTATTTTACCAGGATGTCTATCAGAAAAGGGATTTAATTTAGCTCTAGCCCAGCTTAGCAGTAGAGCCTAAAGTTGATGAAGCCTGCAGGCCGCAGGACTGAATTGCAAATAAACTTGAAAGACATTGCTGAGGATGTGACCGCAAAACCAGCTAGAACCGGTCCTCAAAGACAGAGAACAGAATGAACAGAGGTAACAACCTTCGGATGAGATACAGAACACAATGGACAGAGGTAACAGTTAACCTTTGGATAGGATAAGGCACTATGAAGCAGGAACATAGCAACCGTCCCGGGATGCAGACATGAACCAATCAAAAGAAAAGAGACCACCAACTCAGTAAAGAAGATCAGAAGAGAATGGCACTAGCGGGCGGGAAAATAAGACTGCAAGGCGTACAATTACTCCAGAACTTCTTTGTTCAGGGTCCCTCCCTGGAGGCACCCAGCTTGAGTTATTACTTCGCTGTACTGTCACTTAAATATTATTAATTTCGCTGCTAGACGTACGTTGAGACTGCTCCTCAGAAACCTAGGGTCGAACTGTTTCCATAACAATGTCTGAGGTAGAGTCCCACCAATTCAAAAAGAGCGGCCGTTATCAGCACAGCATTCTTCATGGAAGCCTTCCATGTGGGAATAATTTCCCCTGTTAGCCTCAAGCTACCTAAATCTGCTGATCTTCCTGGCCTTTGACCATGTAGCTGTCTCAGTGGGATTTCAGAGAGGTGATGAGGAAAGGGACAACTCTGCTTCCTGGGATTTTAAGGGTAGCAGCTTTCAGTTTCTTGTTTGCATTTTAATTAGTTATAGTGTGGTTGTGTGGAGGGAGTGTGGATGGAGGAAAAAATGCTATTGTTTTGGATTCACCATTACTTTTGTTTTTTTTTTAATTAATGGCAGGGACACTTAGAATTTTAAGTAGGTGCTCTTTCAAGATTTAAATCAAAACAAATAAGCTAAAATGACTTCAATAGAACTATAAAGTCAAAAAAATCCAAACGTTTACTGACAGCCTCTGGTCCAAGGAGCTCACCGTCTGAGGACAGAGATAAGGGGAAGGAGAACAGCAAGCCTACATGTAATCTTTATGTGCTTCACTACTAATAGAGATGCAAGGCTGGGTCCTAAAGAGGAGCTCTTTTGAGTCATCTCAGAGAGGCTGTAACAGAGATGAAAGGATATTGAGATAGGAATGGGGAAAGTTGATGTCCACTGACAACAAAGAAACAGACTGTAATTTTAGTTTACATAGCCGAGCTGGGAGTCATCTTGACCATGTTAAAGGGGACCAGTGGGTCAGAGATGATGAGGATAGTGTACTCAGTTCATCTGAGATTTTTCTAGGACTATATCGTCAGCTATTTTGACAGCTGAGGGAGAACTATATTACAGATGGTCAAGGGGGAAACCTAATGGCTACAAGTGTAAACAGAATATTCATTTACCTTTACAATGACAGAAAAAGGGAACCGTGGCAATTGCTGGAGACTCAAATGGGGTCAGCATTGTTTCTGTACCAGGGGATGAACACACATTTGCACAGAGAAAGACAAGAACCCACGGAAACTAAGAAGCTAGGAAAAAATGGAGGGGGAACAGTGGGCAATCAAGGAGATCAAGATCACTGGGACTTCTGTAGGAGTCAGGAAGTTTCAGTGCCTGTGATAGAGGAAGTAGAAAGACAAGTGAAGATAGCCATGATATTTGCATTACATGTTAATTTTTCTGGAAATACAATGTAAGACCTTTGCAGTAAAAGGGCTAAGTTAGAGTGCAAAATCAGCTGAGATTAACAACATAGGATGCAATTACAGGGCAGAAGTAAAGATGTTTACCTAGGAAGAAAACATTTGGAAGGGGGGAAGTTGGACTGGGCATCACATTTCCACCAAGAGCCGTACCATGTGAAAGCTGGAGCGGGAAACGTGCATGTTGATGGTAGAATGGGCAGGAGATGGTCTCAGCTGTTCAGATGAACTCTGTGATAGGGCAAAACAGCCACGGAGAAGAAAATACCCAAAGGAGATACCCAATACGAACCAAGGAAAGTCAGTAACGAAATCAGCAGAAGAAAGAGAAAAGAGTGGAAAGCACTACAACAGCAGTAACAGACAGGAAGCTATGGAAAGGCCGAGTGGGAGAGCAAGCACCACAGACTGCACGTGACACAGTGCTGGTGGGAAGGTGGGGACAGAACTGCAGCCCAGGAACGGTGCTCATGACGGCCTGCGGCAGGGCAGGATGAGGCCAGGGAGCTAACACCCACTCCCATGTGGCCGCAACACAGGCTGGCAGCGGGGCAGGGCTGTGTCTGCAGGATCAGAGCAGGCAGGCAGGTGTGACCGGCAGGGCGGTGGCCTCACACCGCGACAAGGGGACACGGCACACGGATTGGCCTCGCACCTCCGCCATGACCGGGCGCCCGGCGCCTCCCGGCACCACGGCCAAGCACGTGA